TGTCGCTTCGTTATCTGCAGCTTGGCGACGCATCTCGGCCGCTCTTGGAACCATCACGAGGCTGTTTTCCTGGAGAACGAGAACCTCAAGACAAAGACCACAATTGCAGAACAGGCAAATCTCGACTCGGTGTCTCATGTCTCGATCAATGCCATGCCCCTCCTCTGAAAGTTAGCGTTTCACGTAATTACATAATTGTGCCCACAACGCCAAACAGAACGGGAAGGACCTGAGAAGGATATCACGTAACATTCCGCAGCCAACAGGCAAACAACCAGCGAAAAGAAAAGAACGGAACAGGCAATTGCGCCCTCTCTTCCTTTCTGCCCTTCGATCGGGTTTTCCCCCTCAACGTTGCATGTCGCAAAATGTTCCACCTTCCCGTCGCCGTCTTTCTCCCCGTGGCTCGATTTGACGGTGGAGCAACCCCACAAGACTGACCCGATCATCACCTTCGCCGACATCCAGACTCTCTGACTGTTTGGCTGTGGAATGTCCGTGGCCACAGCAGAGACACCCTCCAGCGAGTCGGTCCTTCCCCCTGTGCCCTCGAGCCTCGCAATCATCTATCGTTGCTATCATGTGCCGCCGGCTCCACCAGGATCCTGCTCGACACATGGCAACGCAACAGGGGCACCACGCGCGACCGTCGCCGACAAGCACACCGGTTCTCAATTGACGATAGCGCTGGTCGTCGGTTAATCCGAGCTCAGACATTCCGCTGCTTCATCAACCATGTTCATGCCATTGTGTTTCGGCCTCACTCGGGGTGAACGAGCACGTCATCTCATCCCAGACCCAAGACGTCCAGGTTCTAGTCTTGCTCACCATGATTTCGCACGCCCTCATCAATCAACAAGTTTCATGACGGATCATGCGTCTGGGCATCGTGGAAATCTCCGTCGAGACGCATGGCTTGCGCGGGGGTGACTGTTGCTCCGTGGGGATCAGACGATCCATGAGGCACAGCATGCAGTCCCCCAATCCCTAACTCCAGCCGGGGGCTTCATTTGCCAGTTTGCTTGTCCTTCCGGAGGCCGTACCCGTGCTAACGCCAACTTGGAAACGAGCTCGTTTCTCGCAGCGACGGCGACGACCCGCGGCCGTGCTAAAAGGTCCAGGTCCATGTCGTCGGAACGCCCAGCTCCTCTCAACGACGCCAACGCCAGCGGAAGCCATCACCAAGACGGCAGGATCGGCGCAGAAGTTCCTCAGCAGCTGCGACTGGTAAGGTTGCCAAGCCGCTCTAGCGAGGGGTCCGAGGCAGTTTCGGGGGCGAGTCGAGATGGGCGGCGGCATCGACGGGATCATCGAGACCAACGGTTCCTGATCCAGCGGTGCCGGGTGGGCGTTGATGTCAGACGATGGCGCTTGCTGAGTGACCCTCGCTCGGCACCATTCGGCATTCTTTCCCCGCAAGCCTCTGTTCTGCCGCTGCACAATTCCTCCTCCGCGACAAGATGGGGTGATGTCGCGAGGAGGATGGGGAACATTTCCCCTGCGTCAACGACACGCCAGTGGCTGTTTTGGGGCTGACGGCTGCAGGCGCCAACCGAGCGGATGGCCAATCACACCGGGCCCAGCAACTTGTTCGTCGACGCCACCAGCGCGGACCTGGGCGCTTGCAGGCCAACCCGCTGCGTCCAACATCATGGCCGAACGCCATCCGGGGAGGCGGAGCGGGAGCGGAGCGGTTGTGGGAGTCGGGAAGTGGGAGGCATTCTTCTCTTGTCTTCATTTCCTCTGGCTCTGCTCCGAGGCTGGGCGGAACTTTGGCCCCAGCTTGTGCAGTTGCATTCCGCTGGCCTCGCTTCCACCATCAAGACCCAAGCCGAGCTGTTTTTATCAAGCCTCGTCAGCCGTATGTTGCTTCTTGGCCGCGCCGGCTCGTCGTCGTGGCGCCTTTACCATTATTCCCTCTCACGTGGCCCTGTTGCCCAGGTGTCAGCTCTCAGACTCATTGGACCAGCTTGTGATTCCAGGCAACCGAGAAAGCCATCGTTTCTCGCTTCCAGCCTGTCCGGTTGATCAAGGGCGGTGTAATCTCGTTAGATGGTTTCCTCGAACGCCCCGTGTCTCGGTCCACAACATCACGAAACTTCTGGAACAAACATCGATGAGACAGCTCGGTTCCAGATGACGCAGAAGGTGTGGCCGTTGACAGGAAACCCTACCTTCCCCTTTAGCAACATCTGATAAAGCCATCTACTTCGGGCCATTCTCGCAATTGGGACCTGTCTCTCAACTCCTCGGGTACTACTCGCGGAGACCCACATCCAGTCCGCTGGGCTGGGGCTTTGGTTCCCGCTCTTGGGCATATTGCCCTTTACGCCAACCATGCAGAAAACCATGTTGTTCGATTTTGCTGGGCCTGGCAGCCCGGCACTTCTGGTTTCTCTTACGAGACAGAGTGTCCCTCCCGTCCCGGCTCCCGTTGTTGGACAACATTGCTCCCTTTCCCGGTGGGCCAATTGTTTGCCAGAGAAAGGCTTTTGCACGTGAGGATCGACAATTGGGAATTGATAGTTCCTAAGCTAGCGACCTGTGTGGGGAACAGGACCGAATGAGATGCCCATTCCAGAATGCTTTTTCCCGGGACGCCCGGAGAACTTGGGCGTGGGGAAGAAGCTGCAAGGCGCCGACGAGTCATGATGCCGGTGTTGGCTTTCACTTCTCCTCGGTTGGTTAGATCAACTAACCTGAGATCCCCCCGTCGAACGGCAGTTTGGGCAATCACCGGAGTCTCTCCATTCCCCATCTTCGGCATCCCTTGACCTTCTGGAAGAACTGTGTTCCACAGAGCCCGCTGGCATCCACTTGGAGATGTCCACAGGCGCACAAATCCACAAGCTGCGGGCAAGCAAGGAACTCCTGGCCTCATCCGCCGGCAGTTCCGATCCTCCTCAACGCCGGCCGCGGCCCTTTACAGGTCTGGACTCGGCTGCCGCCAGGCGGATCGGCACGGCGATGCAGTGGCTCTGTTGCTTTCGGACGGGGGGTCCGCGTCTCACCTAGCCATCAACAACAAGCGCAAAAAAGACAAGAGTGTTTCAGTCATTTTTTGGCGCCTTCAACTTACCTATCTCACCTGAAGATTCCGTTGCCAAGCCCACGAATTTGCTGCGCGCTGCACAGGACACCGTTGGCGGGGGAAGTTCACATGCAAAACCAGGCCCGGCCCGGCTCCTCGGTCTTGGTCCCGTCACACCGGTCAACTCCTCCCGATAAGCATGCGCTTCGGCTGCGGGAGGTGGGGGCTTGGCAGCGGCTGGTGGGATGAGGTGACGGAGATAAACGTTTGTTGGGACTTCATACGGAGAGGGTTGTGCAGAAAAGTTTTTCTTGGGCGCAACATCGAGGTCACGGGCTGGACTCATCATTCAACTGCAGCGATCTTTGCCGGGATTCGAGTTTCTGGTAGGTTTTGGCGGTTTGATGTGGTGCTTGAGCATCATGCTTGAGGCTTGCGGGGACGGTTCGTCCCGCGACGGCGCCTCGGTTCGGCATGTTGTACTGTTCCCCTGTGATTGTCATTGCTTTCGTGGTACACGCAGTTATAGCTATTCTCTCCGGAGATACACCTTTCTCCAACCGGTGAGGTGCTCCCGCAACCCTCCTTCCAGGGGTTCAAAACCCAGTCAGCTGGATAGGTGACATTCAGAATCAGGCCCGAATGACGATGCGATGGTGCTGCTTCTGGGGAAGGAGGCGGCTGAGGATCTTCCGTGCGTGATGCCACACCCAAGCCGAGGCGCAACCGCACTGACGCGGGACGGGACAGCAACAAGCGCGCCAATGTTTCGAACCAAACTCCCGGTAGTTGTGCGGTGATCGCCCCCAGCTATGCACATGTGGATGGGTAAACCGCTGGGGTTGCATTCGGTTGGTGCGCGTTTCCCCGGCCTGCTTGCTTGCTTGCACGTTTCGCCGCCACCGGGTAAAATCGATGATGAATGAATGCATGGCGGGCTGCGTCCTGCAAGGGACCATCACATGGTGAAACGAGACAGAGATGCGAGTGGTGACGAGTGTAACCATCACCACTACCACGAACTGAGGAGGGAGAGGAGTCGGGCTAGCAACTTGAACTGGCAGGTTGATTGCGCACATTTTGGGAGAATTTGGTCCATGGGATGAGGCCTTGTTTCAGGGGTTATTCGCGCGGTGGTGAACCTTGGGCTGTGCTGCTCTTGGCAGACATCCCGTCATTGAAGCTGAGCTCGACCAGTTCCATTTGCGTCATTTCTGGCGGCAACAGCCTCTTCTGGCTAGTGGCTGACAGGAGGGGGTAGTATCTTCGGTTTCGGTCCCAGTGGTTGCAACGGTTCATGCTTGGGTGGCATGCTTGGATGTTTAAGATGGAAAGACTTGTCACCGCAGGCTTTTGCGAGGGTGAAGCTGTTGATGCTGCTGGGATGCAACGTGACTAGATTAGGAGAACTCAGCTTATGAGTTTTGGGTGGTATCTAAAGCCCAGTGATCTGGTGCGTCACTCACACGTGTTTTGCAACCAGGGTAAACGGAGACTACAGAAGCCGAGAATCTGGCCGGTAGGCCGAGATCTCCGAGTTCTGGGCTTAACCGTTGTGTAAAATCCTTCGGGTACTTGTTCCTTGTGGTATCTATCCCTTGTTGAATCATTGGCCAGCGTTGCGTTGGAAGTAGAAGGTGTCACGCCCAGATCGAGACGCCTGGAGGAAAGGATTGGGGCGTCAGGAAGTCAATTGAAGCTGATAGATATCAAAGTATCAGTAAAGTTTTGCCTTATAATGGGCCCTGATCTGAACTCGGTTCAAAATCAAAAGTTCCGAACACTCTACAGAATCTAGGGGATATGGCCGGAGTCTTCATGTCATCTTGAGTTGATGAGATACAGTACACATAAGAGGAATTTAAATGTCTTCTTAATTACATCATAATACTCGCCGAACGCAAGCCAGTTCAAGGAGTTCGATAAGAACAAGACTAAAAAATAAAACACAGGGCAAAAACATATGGTTTGAGGCCTACCCGATTTGAACGGATAACCTTTCGATCTGGAGTCGAACGCGCTACCAATTGCGCCAAAGCCCCACATGGTTACAACGGGGTTTGCAGTATTACTCATAAGCAAAAGTTTGCTAGGGCTGGAGGTGTGGAAAACTTCATGAAATGGCATTGTTCTGATACTTAGGTAGGGTCACAATGTTTGGGCATGTTTATGGGCTGCCCGTGTTGATTTTCAATAAAAGGTTATGGGACTACTTTTTTCTTTGAATCTTTATAACACTAGGGTGAGCTTGAGAAACAAGTTGTCTGAAAACTTCGAGCTGCTTAGAAAACGTAACTGTAACCTAGTGTATTCGTTAATGCGAACAGATAACAATGAAGGTTCAAGCTGTATGCTATCAGTTTATCTTCTTGTATGCTAGGTTTGACCGACAATCAATGTTCGAGGATTTGAAAAAAGTTCCATCATTTCCAAACTGACTCTTTCAGTAACTTACCTCTTTGAAGAACTTCGTTCTTGACCAACAATGAAGACGTGAAAACTTCCATCGTAGAGTTCAAGAGCCGGAAGAAAAGGAAAGAGAAAGAGGAAAGAGGAAAAAGAGGAGAAAGGAAAGAGAGGAAAGAGTAAAGAGAGTAAAAAGGGAAGAGAGAAAAGGGCACTGGGGAATGTTATGACTCAAAGGTCTTGATTTAAAGTCTCAGACACCGTGACTCTCGGGACAAGCGAGGAAGTAGGTTACAAAAAGGAGACGTATTTTATTAGACCAGTATCATTAGTCAATGTGGTCACCATACAATTCAGGGAGCGTTCCTGCTTTCCAAAGTTCGGAAAATGCCACACGCCAGTTGTATCTCTGCAACTTGCCCGTGCATAATATCTCATCGCTGACCGAAAGTACACCTGATTTCAAGTATCTTTCAGCCAAATTTGAAACCATCTCACTGAGATGGTGATCATATTTGCGGAGATCTTATTTGTATCAGGGAAAATGTGGCATTTGTGGTTAAATGCTGAACCGACAGCGGCTGAATCTATCCGAGCCCCTGGCCCACTGCCATACAACCCTAGCATCGGAGACTCCAGAACATCATACCACAACCATCACACGGGGCGCCGTTAAGTGCAGCTTAGCAGGCTTAACGCGCCCTTTACCCCGGACTGCTACAAAGTTTTCCCACACAACTTAACCGGGAACCAGATGAAAGCTGACTGCTTTAGGCTCCTTCCGAGTTTCATGGACCCGGGAGAATTACTTGCCAAAAGAGAAAGACCTTGATCGGCATATAAAGCGGGAGAAGAGGGTTTTTCGAGTTGATGTTTCCCAGGCACAGTTTCACCCTCCATCTAACAACCCAGCAACATGCTCACTGAGATCTTCCTCATTGGCTTCCTGCTGGCGTCCGCCGCAGTTGCGGCACCAGCCCCCAATCCCCTCGAGCATATCAAGCGCGCTCCAAGCCCCGGCGTTGTCATCCAAAAATGCAGCAACCCGGGCATGCTTGCCCTCGCCTACGACGATGGTCCGTACCAGTACACCTCGCAGCTAGTGGACATTCTCGACAACGCCGGCGTCAAGGCCACCTTCTTTATGACCGGCACGCTCTATGGCTGCATCTACAACCAAGCAGCCGCCGTCAAGAAAGCGTACAATTCCGGCCACCAGATCGCATCTCACTCATGGTCCGGCACATCCACCTCCCCTTTTCCTCTCCCAATACCCAAAATACTTATCCCTCGCAGGACTCACGGCCACATGGGCAGCATGAGCGCAGACCAAGTCCGCACCGAGATGGCCAAGCTCGAGCAGGCACTGGTTAACATCATCGGCAAGAAGCCAGCGTTCGTGCGGCCACCATACCTTGAGACCAGCGGCCAGTTTCTACCAGTCATGCGATCGATGGGCTACAAGGTCGTCACCAACGACGTGGACTCGGGCGACTGGAACAACAAAACGCCGCAGCAGAGCCAGCAGGCATTCCAGCAGGCAGGTGCCGGCGGTAATGGGCATATTTCGCTCATGCACGAGACGTATCAGAGCACGGTGCAGACGCTGACGCCGTGGTTGATTAACTGGGCGAAGCAGAACAAGCTGAGGCTGGTTACTGTTGGTGAGTTCTTCTGGAGAGAAGTTTTAGGGGTAAAAAGGGGTAACTGACATGGTTCTAGCCGAGTGCTTGGGTGATGCGGGTGGTGCGTATCAGGTGGGTAGTTTTACTGGCAACGGTCAGAATTACTGTTAAGCAGACGGTGGAGCAAGGCGAGGAGGTTTCATCCTATACATGTGTACTGTGTTCGGTTTCTTTCCGTAAGCAGATCATTGTAATTTAGGCCCTGGCCTCATGCAATATTCCTCACTTGTCGAATGCTATGTTGTTGACAATAAATGTTGATCGTTCTAAAGTAACTCCGCCTCTGATAAAATGACGATCAAAAAGCTGGGTCACTCTTCCCCTCCATAATTTCTACGCGAATTGTGTGGGGGTCGAAGTGTGTCGTCTTCGGCCAGCTACCGTTCCCTGAAAACATAGGAAAAAGGCAAAACAATTATTATTCCTACACCGCTGTGCCATGCGGGCATGTCGGACCCTCAGACATTTACTATACAGGAAAACCGCGCCCTTGCGGGCCGGGTAAAAAAACCTATACCGATGATTAAGGGAAAGAAATAAGTGAATGAGCCTGCGAAATACAAAAAGAGAAGGCCTCTTGGCCTCCGACCGGTGGGAGTCAGATTGCCTACTCCAGCTCGAGCTTCCTGGCCAAGCTGTACATCGGCAGTCTTCCTGAATCCATCAGCCAGCCCAGTATCCTCCTCGTCAGCCGAGCAGTTGAAGGACTGCCACCCTGTAGAACAGAGTAAAAGTCTCATCGCGGCAAAACAATTGTCACGGGCACAGCCCGTTCCATAGTGTAGGGTTAGGGTTGTGGGGTGGGGTGCGCTCAGTGGTTTTCCCCTGCGGGGCTGAGCCTCCCACTTCCCTTCCTCGTGCAACCACATCAATTACCAACAGGTACCTACTTTGCCATTGCGTCCTGTGATAACAATTAACCAACGAGGTTTAAATCAATTTCTTTCTTCAAAAACATTTTGACTTCTTTTTTTTTAAAACTCTGGCTGCTTTTGAAACATTTTTTTTCCCCTTCAAAACAGTTTGTCCCAAAACAGTTTGTCTTCTTTTCTAATTTTTTTTTTTTAAAAAAAATGAATAATGGTTCTAGAGCAGAGAACGTACAGACAAATAGGTGTATTTTGGTGTAGTTTAACGAGAAGACCCAAAATTTTGACCGTCACTGTAGTTAAACCCTGACTCAGGGTTTGAGATGGAGTTCTCCCTTAAGTTTAGTCACACTGAAGACAAACTGGAGTCTTGAACTGCCGTGTCTTGGCTGCGCAGTGTTGCCATTATTCAGTGTTACAGCAGCAAGGAGGCCCACAATACCTGCAGGCAAACGTCACAGTTTCAACCGCCGCCGTTTCCCCTACACCACAACACATGAGGTGGTCCCCGCGCCAGCCTTCTTTGGGCACGCAAGCTCGCCGTTCGTTTGTCTGGCTTGTGAGCTTTTAAGTCCACGTCCTCTCCCCCGCTCTCAGATGATTTGAATACCACTATCCCTCTTGCATCCCTTACAGTATAGGGTTCTCTGCTTTCTCTGCTTTCTACCCACTTCCACACCCGTGGCAGTTCTGCTTTGCTTACCTGCTTCCCACCATACTGTCTCCCTTCAAGGTGCGACCCTGAAACTGGTGCAACGGCAAAACAAGAGACCTTCGCTTCTTAAAGTAAAGAACCTTCGTTCCTAAAAGCAGAGCTGCTCCATCCAACTCGAATCTTCCGAGCAGCTTTGGACGATCTAGACCCATAACCCCGGTAATTCCGAGACCAAACTAACGGGAGACAACTCCTAGGCCCCATGTCTACCGTCGAGATGTCGGCCAGCAATCAGGACGCGACGTTACCTCAGCTTGACGTCTTGAAGGAATACCCATCGCGTAGCGCCCTACAACAATTTCGACTCGCTAAGGTCAAAACGTTCACCTGCCATCGTTGCAACAAAGAGAAAACGTCAAAGTTGGTAGTCACGGAAAATGGAAACTGGGAAAACCTCATGTGTAACGGTTGTTATGGTTTGGTTCTCAAGGAGGGTTCAAGTCCGTCCTAAGCTAGTGCGGGAGGTGTCCTGGAATGAGTCTATTTTCCTCGACGCTGTGATCGAGGTATCAAAACTTCCATCAAGCAGCGTGTGTCACCACTTCTCTTCGTATGCCAAAACGCCAACCTCGGGAGCGTCGTCATGAGGAAAAGGCTGGTCATCTGGCGTGAGGTCGCCGTGGTCTAGATAGTACTGGTTGGCGTGACACCCGGCCCCAAATCTCAATTTGGCAGACCACAGCATGATTTCCCATTATACTGGAGCTTTCGTCATGTGAGCTAGCCAGACGTGGTTTCAGTCGAAGCATTTGCCTCTCCCGTGATTCGTTCCAGATCACAATCCATAACTCATACCACTCCCAAAGGTTTATGTCTGCCTCGTCTCACCGCCGAGAACGCCGCTGTTTTTGACAGAGCTTGGTCGATGTCGGCGTCGGGCGATAAGCTTTCGAAAACGGTCGGCCCGAGTTGGCAGAACGAACGGGCCCTTGTCAGTGGACGCGCCGGTCATCTTGAATAGTAGTCACCAACCGTTTTTGACTTGGTCAAGTTTTCTTGGGCGTTTTTGGAAGGCTGTGCGAAGACGTTGGGCTGAACCTGATGTGCGGGTTAAGGGACGTTGCGTTCAGCGTTAGGAGCGAGCAATTTAATGGGTTCCGTTAGGTGCCGTAACTTCCATCAGTCCTGAGACTTCTGCTGCTGTTGAGGAAGGGACACCTGCTACGATCACCAGCGTCACTGACCCCTCTTGGCGGTATTTTCGCAGACCCTTCGCGGAAAGACAAAATTTCTGGCAGACACCTGGACAGGACCTTCCGGAAGAGCTATGAGCCAGGTGCTGAATTGAACTGGACCGTTTCTACGACTCCGCTTCCTGACCGTACCTCCCATCTCTGCCTCCAACCGTGACTCCCTGTATCTCAATGGAACTCATGGAACTTATTACACAGCAATTGCCTATTTGCGACATCCATCCACTTGTGGTGTCTGGACTCTCGGCCCGAGAGGCGGATTCGGGTCCCGGGACGAGAGCCTAGAGAATCTAAATGTGCCCAGGTCACCCGGGCCGGGTACCCTTTTAGCTTCTGGACTCATCCGATTTCCCCCTGGAAGTGACACTGAAGTTCTGGAACCAAAAAAATGATGCTGCAGATAGCGTCTGCGGTCGCATGGTGCCTTAATTGACAAATGGGGCAAAATATAAACAACGACAACTACAAGATTCGAACTTGTGAGGGCGAACCCAACAGATAGCAAGAACGTGGTTATTCAAGTCTGTCGCCTTAACCACTCGGCCAAGTTGTCATTAAAAAGTAATATGCCTAAAACCACAAAAAGAGGGACCGTCCCAACGCAGATCCCGAAATTACGGACTGATGCTGAGGGCAGAGGGGGTCAACTTGTCCCACCACAACCCTAATTGCTCCTCCTCATAATCCACACTCCTGGCTTGTTGCACCCATCAAATCAACTCAATCCTCTATGGCGCAATTGGCAGCGCGTCTGACTGTTAATCAGGAGGTTGGAAGTTCGAACCTTCCTGGAGGAGTGTTGCAGCTTGAGATCTCCGAAGAGATCTCTCTTTTTTCACTTTTTGCTCCTGTTTTCCTCACTCTCGGAATTTTTGGCTGTGCACAAGTTGAGGAAGTTGCGATGAGATCCCTTGCTAGTTCGCCGTTTATCATTGCAACTGAATTTTCGAGCGAGCAGACATGGAATGTAACTTGATGAGATGGAAGAGAGAATACCGTTTCGAAACAGGAGACAAACAAGTTTGGGAACCCCTCCATGCCTTTCTTGTTGGGTTTCGTCCTCTCGGGATCTGCTCGCTTGAAGACAGCAGCTCTGCAATGCCCTGGCGCTCCCGACCTTGCCAAACGTACATCTTCACGCCAGGCTTCCAGATCCAAGCAAAAAGAATGGGTTGGGCTGCTTTTTTGCTCGCTGTCTGGAGCTCGAACCGTCCTGGTGTTGACAAATGCGCAACTTGGATTCGTCCAAGGTCAAGTCTGGGGAAGGGCTTGGCAGGCAGAAAGCTTGGCATTACGGGTTGTTCGGTTTTGTTTGATTGGCTGCGGACTCAACTGACAGCCCCTCTATCCCTGCCCCGCCTTATCGCCCGCTGCGTCGTCACCCGTTGTCGCAACTCAACCCAGGCAAACAGCAACACCCAACACCACATCGCGACCGCACCACAACCAAATTCTCAACACCCAACCTTTAATCTCAAAAATTTAATCTTCAACCCCTAAACCTTTCCTCGACAAATCACCCCCCAACCTCAACAATGAACCGCCTCTTCGGCACCACGACACCCAAACCCCCCAAACCCACCCTCACCTCGGCCATCACCTCCCTCGACACGCGCATCTCCTCCCTCGACGTAAAACTCGCCTCTCTCAACGCCGAACTAACCGGCTACCAAACCAAGCTCTCCAAACTCCGCGAGGGCCCGGGGAAAACCGCCCTCAAGCAAAAAGCCCTCAAGATCCTCCAACGCCGCAAGCAATACGAAGCGCAGCGGGACCAATTGCAGTCCCAAGTCTGGAACATGGAGCAAGCTCAGACGATGCAGGACAACCTCAAGAACACGATGGTGACCATCGACGCACTGCAGAGCACCAACAAGGCGCTCAAGAAGGAGTATGGCAAAGTGGATATCGACAAGATTGAGAGGCTGCAGGATGAGATGGCGGATTTGCTGGATGTAGGGAATGAGATACAGGAGAGCCTGGCAAGGGGGTATGATGTGCCGGAGGATGTGGATGAGGCGGAGTTGGATGCGGAGCTGGAGGCGTTGGGGCAGGAGGTGGAGTTGAGAGGAGATGTTTGGCGGGGTCGGGGAGGGTGCCGAGTTTTATGCAGGATGAGGTGCCCGAGTTTGTGGATGAGGCGCCGGAGAAGGGAAGGTGAAGGAGGCGGCGGGGGTTGGGTTAGGAAAGGATCTGGAAGGGCGTTGGGGATGGGATATGGCATGTTGGCGACAGGAGTCTGGTTTCTTTTGGTACAGGAAATGGCATTGCGCTCACGAGCATGTTCGTTACAGTATTATGTACATCTTGAATGTCCGGCATGTTGTATCGTGCCCTTCGTTGCATCATCAATCGTTCATGATTCAAACCTCTATAACCCACCATCGCTACTCCACCGGAGCAAAGAAGCGGCTCACCTCCTCCAGCTCCGGATCTCCGTTGCAAAAATCCCACCCAACAATCACGCTCCGCTGCGTGCAGCAAATGATCCGCCGCGCGTCGTATTCCACCTTGAATACCCTAGGCGCGTGGGGGGTCCGCCTGGCCATGCCCATCAGCATTGCGTGCTTGATGATGGTGATGGGGCTGCTGCTGCTGCTGCTGTGGTTGTGGCTGTGGTTGCGGTTGCGGTGCTTGTGTCTGTGCTTGGGGCTGCGGCGGGTTGGGAGTAGCTGCAGCGACGGGAGCAGCAGCGGGAGCAGACGAGGCGGTAGGGGCGGGAGTAGGTACCTGGTTCCTGGTACCGCCATTCGGCGGGACTTGTGCGTGCGCCTGGTGCGCCGCCGCCGCCGCCCGCTGGGCTGTCGTGAACAAAGGGTCTTGCTGGCCAGCCGCCGTCGCCTCTGCCGAGCTCGGGCCTGCCGCTGATAAAGGCCCTGCAGCGGCTGTCTCCTGATTTCGGATAATCTCACGCCGCTGACGCGCCTGGTCGAGATGCGACCGGGCGATGGCGTTCGAGTACAGCGCGTGCATTTGACTGCGAGCAACCGGGTTCCGCTGCCGCTCGATAGCCGCTTCGACAAAAAGACCGCTGCGTAAGGATGTCGGGATACGCAGAAATCGCCTCTGACAAGGCTTGCGGACTACCCTGTGTCGCCACGTTGATGATCCCGTGGAGATCGGCGGCTGCGCTGGCGTCCAGCACTGGGTTGGCAGGTGGGAGGACTGCGCCAGCCGACGGTGCTGGCAGAGCACTGGCAGACAGAGACCGAGGCGGTGCGGCCGCCGCTGAACTGCCGGCGCTCGTCGGACGATCGGTACCGGTAGCGAGGTAGTTGCGGTGCAGAGATGTCCTGAGCTGCGCACGGTGGTGTTCCATGGCGCCAGTCGCAGCGTCCTCATATTTCAAGTGATGCTGGTCCTTCCACACACCTTCCTTGTCCTTCCGCCACACGATGATGGTAGCGTCGTAGCTGCCGCTGACAATTCGCGCATACTTGCCGCCGCCACCGCCGGGCGGCAATGACGCGCCATACCCTATGAGATCCTCGGGTCGCTTAGACCCGGCGTTCGCGGGACGACGATTTCGGCTAGAGCGCGGTCCGTCTTCGATCAAGCCCTTTTCAACCGCCTTGAAAAACTCCATATCCACCCTCCGCGCCTCGTCAAAGTCTTCCTGAGCGGCGCCCGGCAGGTCTGCGAACCCGGCCTGGAGGGTACGCACAAGCAACGAGTGCGCTCGGAGGTTGGCCACCTCCAGCCCGGTTTGGCGGTCAAACACCTTGACCTCGCAGTCGCTGCTGCCAGTGATGATCCGGCGGCCGTCAAACTGGACGCACGCAATCCCCTTGTGGTGCCCGAGGATGGTCCGAGTGCAGGCCTGTGTCGGCCAGTCCCAAACCTTGACGTTTTTGTCACCGCTCGCCGACACCACCTCGCGCTCGTGAATCTGGACGGCGTTGACGGCGGCGTTGTGCCCTATCAGGGAGCCGATCATGGTCCAAGCGGGGATGACGGGCAGGTCCTCGGGTGTCATGGGGATGCCGTAGCCGTAGTCAACCTTCCGGGGCACAGGGTCCACCTCCTCCGGATACCCTAGGTCGCCCTGGTGGAGCGGCCTGCGGTTAAAGATGCGGATGTACTTGTCCTTGGAGCACGTCACCAGGATCCGCTTGTCGAACTTCAGATTCAGTACCGATTGCTTATGGGCATGCTTAAGCGTCTGCAGTTCCTTTCCGGTCGAGAATTGCCAGATGATGACGTCCGAGTCGGAGCTTCCAGAGACGATCAGGTCCTCCTCCGGGTCCGAATCGAACTGCAGACACAGAACGGAGCCACGGTGCTTCACCAAAGTGCGCAGGCAACGGCGCGTCTTCATGTCCCACACCTTCAGCGTCCGATCGCGGCTGCTGCTGACGAGGTACTCCGAGTTGTACTGCAGGCTGTAGATGCACTCTCCGTGGCCTTCTTCTGGGTGGTCCGGGTGAGGAAACTGGAAGTTGATGTATTTTCCGCGCTCCCAGTTTGATTCGAGCCGCCGCCGCATGCTGTACAGATACTTCCAGTTGATCTTGAGGTTTGTCGACGACCTGTCGTATACCCACATACCCGACCTGGCCAAGGATGCCGGGACCAAGTTCGGCTTCAAAGATGGATCCTGCATGTGCGCCATTGTCCCCGGGGCAAGAGAATTCAGTGCCCCCATGCCCCTGTCCACCTCTTTTCCTTTGAAACTGGTACTCGCGACATCGTTCGCTCGTGGGGGGTAGCGGCTGTTTGAGGCTGGCAATTTTGGGCCGCCAAAGATGCTGGTTTCGGTAGGCTGCAGCTCCGCAGAGTCCCGGTTCAGCGAGCTCCCGGCGTCGGTCATCACCGTGTCGGTGTCGCCATCGAGCGGTGATAACGACGAGATAACGGGCTTATTACTCGCTTGGCCGTGGTCCTGGGTGTTTGGCCGCTGAGATGCTCGTCTTTCGAATTCTGTAGCGGGGCCGTTCACCTCCAGCTCTGCTTCAGAAATCTCGTGCGGCAGCGCTTTCCATCCTTCAAAATGATACAACGTCTCCCACAGTTTCCGGTCGACGGCGAGGCTGTACCATGTCCGACAGCAGCGGGCCACATTGAGAAGCGAGAGTGGGTCGAGATATTCGAGAATCTTCAGGCAAACTTCGGGGGGCATGTACCGCACAAAGTCAATGTAGAGGCGGGGGGAGAGGGTGTGGACGATCTGCGAGACGGCGCTCGTCGGGAGGTCGCTGAGTAGGGCCATCACAAGCTCTGGGGGCGCATGATATTCAGCACTTGTGCATTCAAAAAAGAAGAAGAGCACAAAATGCTTCCTTACCAGATTTCCGCGCGATTGAAAGACCAGAGAGGTGCTGTACCAACCATGGCGGGTAGTCTTCACCGGGTCGTAGGGAACCCAAAGCCGAGTGGGTGTTGTAGGTAGGCTTGAAGAAGAGTGCGGCGGCGGGCGGGGCAGTCAACGGATCTTCTGAGTAGCCTTCGTCGGGCTGGGGGGTGAAAGAGGCCATCATCGAGATGCGTAGGTCGGTGCTTGCCTAATATCGAAGCAATCCCACGATGACGGACATTCGCGAGAGTCAAGCGAGGACTTGAGACTGGACAACGACAGAAACGGGGCAGAGACAGGGCCGGCGACGGGGGGGTGTTTCGACCAAGGCGTCACGCTTCGCAGAGGTATCGCTGTGCTGTGAACACAGTGCTGGGCAACGATTTGCCGAGTCGGGCAGCCAAGTTCGTTTAACTATTGGCGGGCCGCAGGATGGAGGCGCGGTCTGTTGTGGCTTGAGGGACACACGTGGGAGGGCGGCGATGGCGGCCCGGGGACGGTTGG